GGGAAAAAAGGGGGAAGGGGGGAGGAAAAAAGGGGAGGGGGGGGGGGGGGAAAAAAAAAGGGGGGAAAAAAAAAAAAAAAAAAAAAAAAAAAAGAAAAGAAAAAAAGAAAAAAAAAAAAGGGGAAAAAGGAAAAGAAAGGGGGGGGAGGGGGAAAAAGGGAAAAAGGGGGGGGAAAAAGGGGGAAAAAAAAAAAAAAGAAAAAAGGGGAGAGGGGGAGGGGAAAAAAAAGGGAATTTTTTGTCGGGAAAAAGGATTTTACAGGTTTTTTTTTTTTTCCGAGGAGGGGGAGGGGAAGGGAGGGGTCAATAAATTTGTGGGATGAATTTTTTTCAGGGGAACCCCGGCCCCCACTAGGGGACCCAAGAGTCTCGGGTGTAGCGTCTAGGCCTTTGAGTCCTGTCGAGAGGTCCCGAGCTGGCTAGAAAGGCTGCGGGTCACAGGAGGCCCTGGGGCGAGGAGACGGGGACGCGGCAGCAGGCCCTGGTGGGGGAAGATGGAGGATCGACGCCCTTGGGTTGCGGCGCCCCTTTTAGTTTTCGTAGAAGTGAAGGCGTTCGGAAAGTTATTTTAAAACAACTAAATTTTGGAAAGAAATACATCAGATTTTAAATTGCCTTTGTTCTCGCCCTTACATACAGGTTAACCCACATTTATGCACGTGTCATGCATGAACGGAGGGCCAAATACCTAGTGCAATCGCAGCAACTTAAGAGAAAAAAAAAGGAACAAATTTTCCTAAGTTTCCTTCATTCTGAAGTTTCCAAGATACTCTTTTGACTTCCATCATTTTTCTCTTTTCGCCCCTTTGGTCTGAGCCCAAAGGCCGCCCTCAGCGGATGGGGATTGAGCCCCATCATGCCTTTCGATAAATATCGGGCGACTCACAAAACACCGCCAAACATTAAACCTCTCCTCTAAAAAAACCAGATTTCCCCCCAGAAACACTAGATGAACAAAACTCTAAAAAAAATTTGTTGCAAAAAGGGAAAAGAAAATGTCCAGCTTTGCGGACTCTGAAAAAAATTTTCAATATCAGTGATGTTAAAAAAATTTGGGGGAAATAAGATTTTTACAATGAAGAATTCCCAAAAAAGTTGGGGAGGGAAAATAGTGTGTTGTACTCACAAAAGGGAATTTTGGGGATCCGTGAAATTTAGATAAAAACCGTTCCCTTTTTTTTTGCTGCGGGCGTGGAGGGGAGTAGAAGATTGACCGTTGCGGTCCTGGGGTTGAGAAAGTTTTTCTGAGTTAAATGAAGGAATTATTGCCCCGTGGAGTCTTTTAAGTCACAATCAAAGAACTGCGATCCCACCCCCGTGAGCACACACCTTCCGCCCCCTCCAAAAGTCCTGAGACGGAACACTTGCTTACGGAAAGGTTTAGTGAGGGGGACAAATGTAAATGGTAGGAAAAATTCAGCGTGGTTTACATGAAGATATGTGTGTTGTGGGGGTTGGTGTGAAAGGGGGTGGAAGGGGGAAATCCATGAAGGCATGCCGTCCTTCTCTCTCTTCTCTTCTTCTAAAACATTTTATTTAAACCCCAGATATTTCATGAACAAGAAATATAACAAACCTAAAATTAATTTTTTGCCTTACAAAAATAAAAAAAAAGGTTTTAAAATATGAAAAACCCTTCCCTCCCCCCCAGTCACCACCCCCTCTCGATTGGGAAAACTCATGGGTCCCCCTGGTAGACCACTTTTATCACTATAACTCTGAAACCGTCCACAGCGTCAAGGCTGCCTCCACCGTAGCCCCTGTGTGTCCCCGGTGCCAGTGGCTGATGGGAAGGGTCCCCCCCCCCCGTTAGTGAGGGAGGTGTCAGGTTGTCAAACTGCCGAGGCCCAAAAGAGTCCTCGAATTTGGGGGAGCTCAAGGTTTTCGAAACCCCGGATCCTACGCCCCGCTTCGGTGCTGTTCCACTTAGCCACGGCTACGTTTGCAGGAACTTGTGGGTATCTGCTGACCCTTTCTGGAACCCACGTTAGTCCAGGAACACTGGATAAGGTGTAAGTCCAGGCGAAGTGGGTATACCGTGGGCAGCAGCAGACGGAGCGGCAGGAGAGACGAAGAAGCAGCAGCGGGAGGTGATGAGGAGTGAGCTTCGAGCAGTCTCAGGCCACCTATAAACCCAACGAAACAAGAGATGGGGGGAGGATCCATTTTGGTGACGTCACCGACCGGAGCCTTCCTAGTGTGAGAGGTAAGAGAGAAGAAGAGATGGCGCTGGGTTGCTCTCACAACACTCGCATACCTCACATGTCCCAGACACTGTGAGGCCGTAAGTGCCCGGGGAAGAACCGCATCTCCTTTGACGTCAGTCAGAGTTCCGGGTAACTTTCCGGTGATTCTGCTGGGCTGTGTCAGCCTCGCTCCTCGCCGTAGTTAGCGGCTGTTACCTCATTTCCTTCGTTCTCATTGGCCGAGGCGACGTTTCCGGTCTGACGCATACCAACGAACTTTTTGCTACGACTGTTTTTGCCGCGATGTATCGCATTACCGCGATGCTCTGACGGAATTTTCCAAACAATTTTTTACTCTTTCATTTGTTTACAAATAACACTTGACTACACTGACGCTAACAAACAGTACAGTCTCGATAAACAACAAAACACAGCTGCAACTAAGGACCATATCTAGCATCACAAACAAACACAATCAACTTGCAAACAAATTGTCAAGATGCTCACTTGTTTTTGTTGTAAATCAACACTACTTTCACCAAGAAGAAATCTGCGGTGTTAGCACTCCATGGTTCACATATTTTCCTGCTCTTTCAGTATGGCACAGAGCCACCAGCCATGACCTTCAAACTCGCATGGCTAATCAATTTTGAGAAGTTTACAGTTTCATTATTCCAGAGATCAGCAGCCACTTACGTATAGAATCTTTACAACTTTCCTTAGGAAAATCTTGTGACAAGAGAAGTATGAGAAGCCAAGTTCCCGTGAGTTCTTGAAATTCACTCAATACTCAGATCCTTAAGGAAATTCCTTTAGTTTGTGTGAACTTTTAGAGAGGGTTGGCGAGGCCAGCTATATACAGTTTTCAGGATGGGGTTTATTGGGCCAGGAAGGCAGGAGGCAAAGGGCCAGGGCTGAGTTCCAACTTCTTCAAACAAAAATCGGTTTATAACCACACACACACACTCTTCATAAAAAAAAGTTTAGAAAAGAAACATTAAATAAAAACATTCAACCCAAATTTTTTAATGCACATAAAAAAAATATACGTAAGACCTGGAAAAACTTAAAAAAATAGGGTTACGTGTGGGGCTGAAAACTTGGGGCCCGTTTTTAGCCCTGAGGCATAGCTGACCTCTGTGTGGCCCCCAAAACCCCGAGTCTAGTGAAAACCCCCTGTGGCCCCAAAACCTGGGTCATAGCTGACCTCTTGGGGTGGCCCAACACCCGAAAATGGCAGGGGTTTCTTTAAACCCTGTTGTGATGATTTTTTCTGACATTCGGAGGGCTTCCCAAAGGCCCCGGTTTTCAAAAATGATATGATAAGATTGGGGTTCGGTGTTTAAAAACTATTAGTTGAGAGGAAAAAACATCTCTTGAAAATTTAAAGGTCCCAGGGTGGTCCGTGAACTTGGGGTTTGAGCCCTTTGTGGGTACCCACGGGGGTTGGTCGAGGGGAACAGTCAAAGTTCATCAAGGTCAAAATCAAATTTAATTTTCCCTTTATTACAGGTGTTTATTCACCAGAAGGGGAATTTAAAACTTGTATAAAAAGATGTAATCCCAGAGCTGAGTACATTTTTTTTTTTTTTGATAAATTTCTGGGGGAAAAACAAAGTTTTTAAAGCCAATTTCTGGGAAAAACAAATTTTCAAATTATTGGGATATTACTAAAAGTTAGGAACTATAATTTCTAGGGTTTTGTTTTTAAATTTATTTACAGTCGTTAATTTTCTGCTTAAATTTAAAATTCATTAGTACTATTATTTGCCCGGAAAGTCAAAAAACTATTTTACTAATACTTTTCTACTATACTAATTTCTACTATACTATACTACTACTACTAACTACTAATACTACTAAAATTTCTAAAAAATAATTTAAAAAATAATAATTTTAATAAAAATAATAATAAAAATAATTAAAAATTTTTATTTCTACAAATTATGATAAAAACTTATAAAGACCATAGCTGATATCAATGACATTTCTTTTATAGAAAGCCCCCGGGTTTTACAGGGCATTTCAGTCATCTTAGGTTAAAACTCGGTTTTCCCGGATTGGGACCCTCAACAGTAGACTAAACCCGGGGTTTCCCCGGGTACCCGGCTACCCCAAATTGGGGGGGGTTGAAAGCTTTTAAAAAAGTTAGCTCCCTTTTTGATTCAAATAAAGGGGGAGTAGAAAAGCCCGAAACTATTGAAAGGGAAAAAAGTCATTTTTTTATTCCAGCTGTCATTTTTACCCCAAACGTACTTTTAGAAGGAACCCCCCTAGTTGCCAGGGGGGTTTTCAAGGGGCGCAAAAAAGAGTCTTGATCCCGGGGCACAGGTGTGAGAGTTTAAGGGGCACCGGGGAGGAAAGGGGCACAGGTGGGAGGGGAAGGGGCACAGGTGGGAGGGAAAAAGGGCACAGGGGGGGAGGGAAAGGGCCCCAGGTGGGAGGGAAGGTCAAAGGGGGGGAGGGAAAAGGGCACAGGTGGGAGGGGAAAGGGCCAGGTGGGAGGGAAAAAAGGGTCAAGGTGGGAGGGAAAAAGGGAAACAAGACTTTAAATTAAAAAGGGCATCTGGGTACCAAAGGGAAAGAATTTTCAAAAAAAGAATTAAGGGGTCTTCATAGGGCAAAGAAATTAAGGGGGGTTTTTTCATAGGTGCAAAGGGCCCAAATTTAAGGGGTCTTCATAGGGGGGCAAAGACCAAAATTTGGGGTTTTCATAGGGGGCCCAAAAAAAATTAAGGGGGTCTTCATTTGGACAAAGACAATTAAGGGGGCTTTAGGGACAAAGACAGAATTTTGGGGTCTTTTATTGGGGCAAAGACAATTTAAAAGGGGGCTTCATAGGTTCCCAAAAACAGAATTAAAGGGGGCTTCATAGGTGCAAAGGAAAAAAAATTAAAGGGGTTTCCTAGGGGCAAAGGACCCCCAAATTAAGGGGGTTCCATTTTCCCTTAGGCCCCCAAAGGGCCCTTTTAAAGGGTTCCTTTTAATAGGTTTCAAAGGGCAATTAAGGGGGGTTTTTTTGGTACAAAGACAAAAAATTAAGGGGTTTTTTCTTTGGTGGGAAAAAAAAAATTAAGGGGTTTTTCAAGGTTAAAAGAAATTAAGGGGGGTCTTTTATAGGGACAAAGGGACGAATTTTAAGGGGGGCTTATAGGTTGCAAAGGGGCAAATTTAAAGGGGTTTTATAGGTTTCAAAGACCCAAATTTAAAGGGGGTTTTATAGGTGCAAAGGGCAATTAAGGGGGGGCTTAAGGGCCAAAAAACAATTAAGGGGGCTTCATAGGGTTTCAAAGACCAATTAAAGGGGGCTTCATAGGGACAAAGGGCAGAAAATTTAAAGGGGGCTTCATGGGCCCAAAAAAAGAAAAAAAGTAATTTAAAACTCCAAAAAGGGCACCGAGACACCACACAGGAAGTGACAGGAAAATGTTTACTGACTGAAGGTTACGTAGTGTTTACAAACCAGGGAGGACTAAAACCAGAAATGGAAGGAAGGAAAACCAGGCTGAGGTATGAAGGAAATGACGAGGACTTTCAACGGTACGTGATAGATCAAATATGTTATTAATATTGAGAGTGAGTGAAGTATTGGAAGTCCGGAAGACGGCAGACGTGATAATATTGCTCCGGAGAGGTGTGGCAGGCTAAGTGTGGCAGAGTGAGTGTGGCAGGCTGAGTGTGGCAGGCTGAGTGTGGCAGGCTGAGTGTGGCAGGCTGGAATGCATAGTAGGCTGGAAAACCTAGAACTACATCACTGAACGTAACAAGGGGTAACTTATATATTGCCAAGATAGCTAACAGAAAATCTTGGTAAACAGAGATTGAAGGTAAGTCTTGGAAAACCTACAGAGACACGTAATAGATGAGAGGAGAGACAGGAGAGGAGAGACAACGAATAGAGGAATCAATGAGAAGCATGTTTCTGGAATGTCAGATGTTTATTGTAACAAGTAAGCTAAGTAGGTCAATGGCAATAACTGGGTGTAAATAGGATCTGAAATAAGGGGGCTAATAGGCTTTCTATGTAGTCTCGTGTATTACGGAATTAAAATTCACAAAGTTTATCTCAGTCTCTCGTCAACACACCGCAGCTTTACGTTTTCTGTGTAAAAGCATTAGCTCGAACGTTTTCTTCGAATTCGTATTTATTTATATAAGTTTATTTAGGTTCAGGTTCACGTAAGTTATTATACAAAGTAACATGTTTAAATTACCTAAGATGACCCAAAAAAAGTCAGAGTGACCTATTTCCACTGGGGTCCTTGTAATATCTTAAAGCCTAACTGTAGTCCCCTGGCAGTCTTCAAGCTGGCACTGGACAAGCACCTAAAGTCAGTTCCGGATCAGCCGGGCTGTGGCTCGTACGTTGGTTTGCGTGCAGCCAGCAGCAACAGCCTGGTTGATCAGGCTCTGATCCACCAGTAGGCCTGGTCACAGACCGGGCCGCGGGGGCGTTGACCCCCGGAACTCTCTCCAGGTAAACTCCAGGTAAGATACAGTCAATCGTAAACAGCTAAGTAACTCAATTGTGTGAAAATCAGTTACAGAAATACAGTGACCTAAATTATTTACATAAATATTACAATGAGAGGATCACTTACAATAATGGTACACGAATGATAACTATACAAGAAATCACAAGAAAATAATTCTTATGGTTACACGTATTTCATGATATTAGACACATGATTATTAAAAACACAGTGATGGCAAATTATCAATATTTAATTTTAAGCAGTCACAGAAAAAAAATCAATCAGATAAGTGATCATTACTCTAAAACAGTGACACAACGTTTCCATCCATGCCAGGAGTGAGAAATTATAGGCATGAGGTTCACAGGCGTTAACCTGAATTCCTTCTCTTGCATAAAAATTTACATTGTGAAAGCAGATACAACTAAGATAATACTGATATAAGTAAGTCGCCATCTGCTCTCTGTATAGGTTCATCCAGTATAACCCCACAAGATACAGTTTAATAGAATTATCATACATATCAGCATTGTGTATAAACCTACTAGATATACCCATATCAGATCTCACATCTAGGTGGGACTTCGGTACGGAAGTCGCAGCACTGCACTCCCTCGATCCAACCACTCCAAAACCCACACTCACACAAATGTGAAAATTATATATTATTATATAATATTATTATTATTATTATTTATATTAAGTATTATATTATTATTAAAGTGGAAAAAATTGATTTACTTGATGTATTATATATACATAACATAAATGAACATTGAATAATTATTATTTATCATGTTAGACAGTAGGAATTTTGGGACACCTAGGTCGCAAAAAAT